CCTTTAAGTCCTAATACAGTAATTTGTACACACGGCAGAGTTGTATACGGAGAAAAGGCGTTCACTACGCCCCGACTCGTATACATACGGGATATGAACTGTGTATCCGATTTTTAAGCAAAATGTGGAGGACAACCCGAAGCGTATAAAATGACGAACTCTAGCTCGTTACTGAGAAGTTGAACTGGCTCAGTGAGCGAAGCTTGTACGTTTGCAGGCGCCAGGGTTAGAGCAAAATTTGCAGACCCAACAACGTCGTGATTATGTAATTGAAAAGCCGCTAGCCGCGCGGATGCAGACCCCTGACACGTCTATGCGTGCTGGGATTTGTGCTAAACGAGCGCTTGACAGTGCTCAGCAAACGGTTCTCACCCCTCAGGTCACGATTTCTTTAGAGTACTGGTGCAGCAGCGACCGGGAAATTGTGTTCCCTGACTATGAATCAGCCTCATAAGCTTGTTTCTGTAAAAATAAACGCAAGGCTAGGGTGTTTTTCACCGCTTGACTTTGTCACAGCATGGAAGCTAAGGAAGATAATAACCATATATTCCTTGCGAATGATCACCGTGTTCAGCATCACGATCCTGCTAGTTCATTTAGTTACCAAACTTAAAATTTTGAGCAGCCTTGATGTAACACTCTAGAGGCAAGCTCGTTTCGCTGGGCGAACTTGCATCTTCTTCGAAGGGAAAGTGTGCTAAGACATAAATGGCAATGGCGCCAGCGCAATCTTGTGAATGACTAATCAATCTTCAACGAATTTTGAGGTGAGGGAATGTTATCCTCACCAAATCATTCGTCACGCACTGGCTGGATTCCGCCTTGGTGATCCCGCCGGTGCACTATACGTTCCGCATGGATGAAATCCTTCTCTCGCCCATCAACGATTTGTGTTTGCATTCTTGATGATGACAGCACGTTGACTTTTTTAGAGAGTCTCGGCTTGCGGGCGATTTTGAATCTGGATACAATCAGGGATCCTTTTTGAGCTATGTCGTGGTAACGCGTGGCTTGTGGCTTCTATGAGATACAGAATCGTGTCGTAGGCCTGACGCAGAAGACGCTGAAAAAGGAAGGCGTGATACATTGTTTCGTCTTTAAGAGAGCTAGACAAACAAAAAAATGAAATGTTAATGTAGCTTCAAAAGCCAACGTAGAAAAAAAACACCTCTAAAAGAAGCAAATAGTGTATATCATTCGTTTTCTTGCTACAACCGCAAAGGCTTTGATGTAGCGGGACCAAAATATATGTTGTATAGAATGCAGACACTGTCTGTGTAGGTAGGTGTACAGTATCCGATAAAATCTTACCTTATAAGTCTACTGTCATCGATTGGGTGCTCTACTACGTCCTGGCCTTTGGCTATAGCGTTGCGCACTCGGCGCTTGACAATCGACTTCATCTTGGCCCTTGTCTATGGCGTTGCGCACTTGGCGCTTGACATTCAATTTATGTCGATGGAACTGCCTATTTTGCTAAGATGTCTAGCCGATCGAATACCAGCAAGTCGAATAAAATCAAAGACGTACCCCCCCCCACCAATACCATACTCACTTCGAGGTCGGATTGGAATGATTCTCCCCAGTACCGCGATCGCTCCACGTATGGCCTCTGAAGAAAAATCTTCATCATGCGACGAACGCGTTCTATCTGACCATCTGTCTGCGGATGGTAAGTGATTGGTATCCTCAATATGACCTCAGCACCTTGATATTGACACGCTGCTAGGTATGTATCTTGATCCATAAACATCTCACCATCAAAACTAGGCAAACACTTTAGTCAGAGAAACCTTGGCTATCAACACACCGGTAGCACTGCCGCTGACAGCGGAGAGATGGGGAATCTGCTAAAAAGCTCACACTTATGAGCTTCCAAAACTGTGCAAATCTGGTATACTTGCCGAAGCTGACTTATGTAGCGAGTGTTCACTACTCGGCATCTTCGCGCGTGCGCACATAAGTGTCTATCCAGGTATACATTTTTAGTCCACCAATATTTAATGTTTGCTCAGATATACATCGCTTCTCTTTGGAGGTAGGCGCCTGGTGTATCTCGAGCGGTTATGTACTTGAAATTTACGTCACGAAGTACCAGCACTCGTTGGATGTCTTATGGGTCTGCGCTGTAACGAAGTAAGCATTGAGAAAAGGTTAAATAGGGCAAAGGTGCAACTGAACGCTTTGACAAAGCGGCTTCTCAACTCGCAAAATTTAATTCTCAAGGTTTGTTACTACGCCACATATGTTGCTTCTGATCCGTACGCTGTACGTATAGCCTCATCGAATTTCAGCGCCACCATCGTGACACGCACATTCCATAGCCGGGGAGACGCGAAAGCGCACTATTATCACATATGGCTAACTTAGTTCAATACATGATTTTTCAGAGATAAATATAATGCCATTCTTGATGTCACGTCGTCGCTATTCGCAATGTCACAAGATCTGTTTCGATCACAAACGACTTGAAGCGAATCTGGTGCACGCTAAGCTTGGGTTGCATACTATATTGCAAACAGCTCATGAGCAAAATGGGCGATCCCTGCTGCGTTCAGCTGGCAAGACTCAAACGTGATGATATTCATTGGCATCTTCTTGGAGTAACACCGAGCCTATAGCAATTACGCTAATGTGACAGATGACATACGATGACCAAAGGTATAGATTTGAGGAACTTATGAAAAATTTTATGGCACAATCTAAAAACCATCTTTTTTACAGCACTCCAGCATCAATTGACATCCTTCTTGAACTGATCAGTACAGAGACGCGCCGCCCACCACTCGGAGATAGATGATTAGACGTGTCCGGCTGATTGCGAGCTAAAAAAAATCCAAAGCACTTGCGCAAAGACTCCGCGGTGCTATACTGAATACCCCGCGCTAACCCGAATCTCGAGAGTTTACACTTGATTTTTAGATGGTTGATTAACTAATATGTCCCATACACAGCGCCACAAAGTATTTCCGGTTTAGGTGTCGGTACCGTTCGACTTTTTGATATCGGTCTGGCTACTCATTTCATCAATTATTATATTTTACCCAATAAATTTAGTGTCATGCGTCGAGTGATCGACAATATCAACTTGCCGATGCCAGAAAACGAAACGTACCGAAAAACGCAATGGTTTTTCATGAATAATCTCAACCTGATTAACATGCATTTTGTGCTGTCTCCGAGACCTAATTGCGTTTACGGTACAGTCGAACGTTCCCGGTTGAGCTGAAAAGACATTATAATATACTTCTAATAGTCAATATAAATGTGATCGAGGGAGCGCCAATTTATAAGCGGCAAAGGCACCAGGGTAATCAGGCCGAAAGAGGACTTTAACCTCCCCACTTGTTTTTGCAGCGGGGGTATCTTTTCTATTTCACAAGATAATTCCAATATCTCCTATTTCCACTTGCACTGCGTGGAAATGTGCCACTCTTGCTCTTTAAGCAGTGCCCACGAAGGACGATCTTTTGCAGCTTGTCTTTGTGTGGATTCTCGGTAAGGTGTGGACGTCGACTTTTTCCCAGAGTCGCAGCATTTGGTCAAGAGTGAAATTCGAAAGTATGCGAATGCTCTCTTCAAGTTAACCAACCGTGCGGAATGCCCAGCAAAATGCAGAGGGTCGTCCCGTGTAGTGCCCTTCAATCTCCGTTTTTATCCTTTTGGATAGCTTAAAAAGCTCTCTAGTGAAGTCACGTGATTTTCAACAGCAGTGAAGGTATAGTGATAAACTTGTCACTCGAAGCTCGCTCTGTCAAACATCAAACCACGCACAAGTTGGACAGCTGCGTATCTGAAACTGGCTTGTTAGGCTGTGGGACGGGTGAGTCAACGTGTCTTTTTCACACAGTGCTCGACGTGAGTGCGACTATTTGGGGGTATTCAGTTCTTAAAGTGTATATCGCACAGAGTCACGAACATACTCGACCGCTGCCGCTCTAAAGAAGGATGGTTCTTCTGACGGGTGGTCATCTGTGAGGTCCGTATGTGCTCGCGGATCAATTTTTTAAACGCTTGTTTTGTTCTCCGTTTGGACAGAAAGGAGGCCCGCAGTAAGGTTCACGCCTTGGTTTGGCGTCAAACATCAAATGTTTCCATCCATGATCTCGACGTGATCTAGGCTAAAGACTCTTGCGCTTACAGATGGACAAGCTGGACTCCTAGATACTGATTTAACGCGTTTGTAATAAGGTGGACTTTGACGTGAATCCAGCTGGCAGGCTTTTCGTCAGATTATCGGAGACGTAATGCATGATCCGTGCAGAGAAGAGGCGAAACGTAATGAACGGCTTGTTATCCGTGATTGGCCCGGTCATATATATCTCAAGGAGGGTGGAAGATCCATGTTAGGACTACAAGATTCGCTACTGCCATTACCATTGAAGAACACGACGGCTGCAACTTGAAGATTATGGTGATGCCGGCGGCCGCGAGGACTGCGTCTTTCGCACAGACTTGCTAAGTCAAATGATGGTCTCGATGGGCGTGGACTTTCAATGCAACTATGCTCGCTAGAGCAGGCACGGAATGGTACTAAGGGCAGAATGATGTTCCGAGCACATCGTTGGCATGTTAAGTGTTATATTTTGTACAATGTCCTAAGTAGATGGTGTCCATATCTTGGTGCTGATTGGTGAGATGTGCTTCGTACAATAATATTGTGTACGTCACAATTCATTTTTGTTTATTCATGCAAAATCCACAATTGTATAGTTGTACAGAACTCACACTACAATTTTGTGTAATGAGGCAGTGCTCAGAGGTTTTAAAGTTTTATACTGTTCGTGGAATAGAGGTCAGTGAATCACGTGGGCTGTTTGCTTTGCGTCAATCGAAATAGATCGTTCTATGCTCATACATATTAGAACATATTTATCTAAATAGCAATATATGTCACTCGAGAGTGTAATTGGAGCAACGAAGTACTAAGCCACTTGAGAGAATCTTAATTTCACATATTGTATTCGCGGACCCACCAGGTCAAATTTTCTTTGTGCGAGATGCACGTCAACTGTGTTACAGTATATGCTCTTCAACTGCTGGTGGTCCATCGGGGAACTCAAGATCTAATAGGGTCAGATTCGATATCAAAGCGCCTTGTTTACGCATGCCTTTCTGTATAATCAAAGCGCCCGGAAACAGAGGCGTGTATGGATTTTGCCACAGCGCGGCGGCAAAACCAAACAAATTGAAGACTCAATCACGGTGGGCTTGGGTCGAGTCGGAAGGCGCAGGGTGTAATGGAATTGTTGCCGTATGTACACATGACTTGGCTACCCTTAAATTAACAATATAGCCAAGATTTGTCGAAGCAAATTATCAGGATTACAAAGGAGCATCAGTGTACATCGTACAGAAAAAGCTTTGGCTCAATGAGTCACATTAACAAACCCACAAAGGTTGAGCTCGTACGCTTGCAGAGCAAAGATCCAAAAACAAGTAGAAACTTACCCATCTCTATTTAAAGGGTGGTATCTCTTTAGAACTAAGTTATGTTAGCTGAAAATCAGATTCATCTGTACGTACTACATAGCATGATGCTAGCACCAACATGTCATACGGACTCCTCGTCTCAAAAGTTACACCTCCTCATCTGTACCACGGCTTTACATGGTTATTCATCATAGAACCTGGTTTTGGCACTTTTCACATAAGCGATGCATTATGCCCCAAGACCCAGAATTTTCGGTACAATCTAGTTAAACTCAAGAGATAACGGACCGAAAATTGCACTAAGAGCACTCACTTCGCCTGACGCTCTGTTCCCATTATCGCGGCCTGCTCGCATGAGCACAGCCAAATTAAAGTGGGTCTCGTGTAAGTGCCCACAAGATGAAACGATCCCTGAAAAGTGCTCCACTTCTCGCGAGCCATGATTGGCAATATATACATGGTGTTTTACGTGCGGAGAGGTCGCTGAGATTTTTCGAGAGCCAACCTGACACCTTCACTACTAGCAAAACATACAGCCAAGCGCATAACGAGGATGTCGCGTACCCAACATTACGCTTCACCCCTGTATGAGCTGCGCTCTCCATAACTCTCCCCTGCAGCGAAGATTCACACCAAAATCTCATGACGACATGAAGGCTAGCTAAAGCTGACCAATGATGCCTAGATTGACTGTCAGCAAGTAAAAAAAAGTCATTGCAAGATTTGCAAACTCAAGTACATCGTATGCGCGCGCCTCCAGCCCATAATTGACCCGCGAAGGCTTTCTGGCGCGTTACCAATCAGACTTGGGGTGGGCGAGGCAGCCATGGTGTTTAACCGGTTTGCGACTATATAAGCCAGCTTCAGCAAAGAAAACATCCGACTGGAGCATTGACTAAAGCTGGACTTTGCGAAGTACAAATCCTTACGTAAACCTCGAGGCAGCCAGTTCATTCTTTGCTGTAGGCAGCCTTGCACATCCCAATTGGCCTGCTGCATAGCTATAAGCCGAGGCCTTCATCAAGACCGGGCAGCGCTTAGCGCTGAGCTTACTTTTTATGGGGTAAGCTCTGGATCTTGTGTACATAAACCATATACATTTGGAACAATTGTATAAAAGAAGCAGGTAATGTACACGAGCAAGTGTCGAGAGTGAGCATCCACTCGTGAACGGAGAAATCAGAGTAGTCCAGGCAGTTACAAGTCTCCTTGACTACCCCACGAAGAAGGTTAAATATGTTTATCAAGCAGAAGAGAACATTTTTAAGAGATATGTGGGAGAAACGATGAGGGAAGTTGATATGGCTGTGGATTCGTCTATTTTCTAATCAGAGCAGAAGCGCGTTACGCTTGCGTACTCGAAACTAGAAGGCCACGCGCGAGAATAGAAACAAAAATGTAGAGCTGTGGTAAAAGAGATGTTTTATACATCGAAGGATTTGAATTGACAGATGTTGTGGGTCTTAGCACCGCGTTACCAGGGGGACTGCGTGTGTTCGAAATAATTGTCTACCCAGAAGGGGGGACGAGAACTAGCGAGTAGTTTAAAGAAGCTTAATACTTATGCAATGACGTCAACCATTTTAACGGAGGCAGATACAGTCACATTCCTAATGAACGGTTTCGGAACGGGAGAAATTGCAATTGAGACCTTTCGCGTCCTCCGTACTATTTTTGAGAAAGCGGTGGGTGTCGAATTATATGCGGCACATAAATTTAGTGCTGCGGTGGCCGAACGGGTTACTGAAAGTGTGAGGTTTATCAGTGTGTCAAATGCGATATACTCCAGCTGTGGTAAGAAATAAAATAGAAATTAATATGCCGTGCAACTTGACGTACGCGCAGATGCTCATATGCTGGACAGCAAAAGTCTTCCTCATTGTTCCTCTCCTCGCAAGAGGAGTCAGAGTCCCACGCAAGAGCGGAATGAAGAGCCTTTTGCGGGGAGTCGTCTGGCCAAGAGGGGCTTATTGAGATTAACTGGATTCTACTGTATTTGGGTAATGGAGTGAGATTCTAGGATAGATGGGGATTCTAACTGCTACTACCCACGCACCGGGATCTACGGAACGGTGAATTGCTCTCAAGAGCGGCGTATAACAACGTTCAACGCACAACTATCAAAAACGTATACAGTACAGAGGCATTGAAGATGCCAAATACGATTGTGATACTCATGCGTCTTGCGACAAAAAAACTAGCAATGTGCTGAAGCATAGTAAGCCTTTTAGTAAAGTTTGAAGAATTTGTTATTGCGGACTGTTGTCTTGATCAGGAGCCGCACTTGAGATACGCTCTCATTATAGGGATCGAGCATCACGAGCCATGGATCAGCAGGAAGTCACACTATTCGGTGCCATGCACTACTTTTTGGCAGAACTTTGGCAATGTATAAGCCCTCCTCTTTCATGAAGCACAAGCGATCGTATTGCTAGGTACCTCGAGCAGAGCCTGATCGGCATGTGCAGCAGGCAGTCGAGGTGTCAGAATTAGACAAAAACAACTTTAAAAACGCGTTCTTTATGGTGTATCTCTTTTACGTCAGAAAAGAGCGACTGTATGTTGCGGTCATCTGATTGTATTTCAGACAGGTAGAAAAACTGCGAGTTATTGTCTTGGGAGCCAGACTGGTGATAAGTTATACGACTGGTTTTCACATTTAGTTAGCAAATGATACATGCGCAACATCAGCCCGCTTTCTCAAATTTGATAAAGAGTGGATATAATTGTGGGTGGTCTTGGTTTTTTCTCAACATAGCCTTCTTTGGTGCCATGCACTTGAAGTTTCTATGTGACGGGGTTGCAGCCACATTTGCCACGTCGAATGAGCCCCGCTGGATGTCACCGGCATTGACTCGTTTTTCCTTTACAGCCATCTGGAAAAGGCTTTGCTGCATTATACTCCAACATGAAAGGAGATTACCAGACGTATGTACCCGATTACTGGGGGGCAACTTATAGCTTTGGGCTGCTCTACAAAGCTCACGCGGCATAATCTACTGAAAGACATTTGTGCAAACAATGCCGTTTTAAGATAACCTTTACTAAACATTTGGGAAGCTTACTTCCCGTTTGTGTCATGTAAGTCCATAACCAGATTATTAACTTATGGGGTTAAGCTTTAGCTGCCTTCAAGACTTTAAATTTAATGGCGCTTACGCTACGACAGATATACTACAACTACTACTGGATGTGGATGATTTTACAGGTCCAAGTTCACTAATTTGTTCACTGAAAGACACGATATGAAGGCTCGAATATAGAATTAATGGAGACCCCGTATCACGGTCCTTCACGAATGTCCAAGATTATAATCTCGTGCCGTGCATGGAGCCTCGATGGGCAACTTGTTATTGATAAAGAAATCGCAACTTTGTTAAGTTACTATTGATGGCGCATCAATACACTGGTACTCCCGACTTGCCGTTGCGACAACTTAGCTTTATGACCAACTTTACGCCAAACCCCATGTATATGGACTGTAGATTATACATGGGATCGCTACGCTCTTTTGATTCTTTCAAATATAAAGCTCTGGCTGCAACATAATGCACTAGGAGTCTGAAACAAGATTTAATGTAGAATTCAACATGTCAATCGCCTGTTAACATGGGTGTATAGTCCTCGAAGACGTCAAACAATTGTTTTGGGAATTGTCCTGTAGCTCGTTATCAATAGAATTATTGCCTTGGACAGATCATGATTGCACTACGATGGTATTTGTAAATGTTTATCAGCTTACGCGTAATGCTACTAAGCACTGCGGAAGATTTGTTTCTTAAGTGGCACTCGTCATTATTTGTTGTTGTGTTTGCCGTGCGCTATGACTACATCGAAACAAGAAGCTATGCATTACTCAATATCAATCTTTAGAGTTTATGCGCTCACCCACACTTGAGCTTTCATTAAGTTGCATTTTCGAAGTTATGACTATACCTTTGCTACTATGAATACAAAATCTTCGACATTGAGACTATGGCTTCAAGATACCTTGGGGGCTGTGGTATTGCGTAGTCAAATCGACTTGGGTGCTGTATTGTATTATGTTGGTGGAGAAAAGCGTGGAACGCTGAGCAAATTATTTGACTAGACAGAGATCTAGACCCAAAAGATGCAAGGCATCTTTTGGAGTCTTTGTTACGGGAAACTTTAGAAGATTACCACCGCGTTTCGATAACAAGAAGGTGGTGGATCACCGTCCGGGCCAAGTACTCAACACCAATGCACTTAATCGCTCGCAAATTAATATTTAAGTCCCTTTGTACTTTATCGATCGAGTGAGCATTTTCAGCGCCCAGTATCGACTTCGCTTACGGAAGTCAATTTACAATGTAGAACTTGAAGTGGATAGACAGTCCGCTTTTCCTAGGCAATGATTACTTTGTTGGCTCGACGCATAAAGTTTTGATCTTCAAAACACAGCCTGATCCGAGCAAGTCAATTTTTTGCAGCTTGCCGACCGTAGGGTTTTTGCAAACTCGAATTGATGGTTTTTACTCGCCTACGGGGTGTTTTTCAACTGATCACTGACATGGCTGCCTTCATGTCTTGTATGTAATAGCATGCTATACTGTATTATACATTTACTAGGTGAATTAATATTTATCAACGTTATATGTACCCTAACTGCTCCACGAGGAAGAGAGCAGCCCCACTCTTATCGACTAATGCAGGCGGAAAGCGGCCCTTCCTTCCTCGGCTGCTTCTCTAGTAATCGCTCGGGTATGATTGACCCTCGAATCTCTTCTTCGTGTGGCCGATACTGAATTAGATTAGGTCTGGGTGTGCTAACTGGTCTTCGCATGCAATTCAGCACGGAGTTGTTGTTTTGTATCAGAACGTAGATCAGCTCTCTGGAGATGG